TATTTAAAGCGTGGATTTCTTTATAAATATTTTTGGGAGCCTTATTTAAAGCGTGGGTTATTTAGAAATAGTTTTGAAAAGCTACCTAAAAAAGCTATTTATATATCAAATTATTTTTTACGACAAATATTTTTGAATAGCGGATTTTTAAAAAAAATATTTCTGAAAAACTTATATCAAGCGTGTATATTATTAAAATAATTTTTGAAAGCTACTATAAAAAGTGGACTTTTTTAAATATTTTGGGAAGTCTTATATCAAAAATATTTTTAATATTTAAAAATATTTTTTTTAATTCAGCCAGTTTATTTGTGTATTACTATTTTCAAAACAAACTGCTGATTCAGTTTCCGTACGGTTATACAAGTTTACTTCAAAACCGCATACTTTTGTTTAAAATAAAAATAAAAAAATCAAAGCATTGATCTAAAAAGCGGGACCCATTCTTTTATGACCCAGTGTATTTATATATAAATACATCTCGATAATTATTTCAATTGAATTTAGTTGTGAATAACTCTGCAATAATATTTTTGACATTTATATTAATACCCTGAAAACCAATTCAAAACAATGCGAATAATTTGAATAGGCCCTAAACATTTTTTTTTAAAAAATTTGTTTTTAAAAAATTATGGCATGCCCAATAATGATACATTTATGGAGAGACAATTATAATTGGATAATATTAGGATGTGAACAGCTGATATTGTTTACATATTTTGTTTACTACTGGTACTGTACACAACGAACTTTTTTTCTTTTTTCTAATTTTTTCCATTTGAAAGGAATCATCTAGAGACCGGAATTAAAATTGCAGTCAAACGGAACTTAACATACATATATAAATTTATTTTTAAATCTATTTAGTATTATGTATTGTATATTTGTTTTACAAATTTTGTGCTGATTCACTGAAAACACTGTACGCTCGTTTTTTGCTCTTTTTTTCTTTAAGCATGGAACATTCTAAGATCAATTTTGTATCTATCTCTAGCTGTCTAACTTTTTTTTTGCTTTGGTTAATTGAATATAAAAATATTTACCTTTTCTATTTTTTGGTTTTGCAAAAAAAATCCAAAACGGTGTGAATTATGACGAAACTCAGTAGCGGTAACGGCAGCTGTAGCAGCAACTCGAACAGGACGTTGGACACAATTGAAAGACTGTCGAATCAGTGATGTTGTCGGAGAGTCGAGCTTTTTGTACTATTTATCGACGACGTTGATGTTGTTGTTTTTGTTGATTTTTTCTGATTTACCGATTTTTATATTTAAATATATTTGTAAATATATTCCTTTTTTTGTTATTTATTTTTATATTTAAATATATATTGTAGGGGGTATGTATATATATTTTTATTTTTCGTTATATCTAATTTTTGCGTGTATGTGAGGTTTGTAATCACTTAATAATCGGTGTCGTGGGATTTTGAAGCATTTTTATAAGTCTTTTTTTCAATATTTTTCTGCAAAGATGTTATGTTTTTTATCTTTTTTAAACTATTCCAAAAAATAAATTTTTGTTTAAGCGTTATCGGTTGGTTTTTTCTTTGTGGTTTCTTTTTCTAACGTTAGTTAATCAACACTGAAAGAAAATATAAAAATCAATAAGAAATATATATTTTTTCTTAAAACACTTTAGTTATTATTTTATAGAATTTTCATTGAGTTTTCACATTTTTGTGTAGAAAAAATTGATTATTTTATTTATAAAAATCACTTTGAAAAATCTTCAAGTATTCTTTACAATATCCAATTGTATCCGGCCGTATAAATTAGTGTTTATTTTTTTCAATTTTAATTTTTTTCGTATGGCGGCTATGTGTTTTAAGCGTTTAAGTTTCACAACACAACAATGAATGTCAACGTTAGGCGTGCGACTAAATATTGGCGAGTTAAGCCATTTAGCTAAGCTAAGTTTAAACTTTAAACGAAACAACGGCGACGTAAACGCCAATGGTGCCGACGTCACCGCCAACAGCGACGCACAGAAAACGACAAACGTCTTTGAATGCGCTATGCTTGTATGGGTCTCAAAAAAAAAAAAAGAAATCACAGCATTGATCGATCCGTCCGATGGCGTACACAAAAGCCCTCTTTCTTTGAGGTGTGATCTCTCTCAATCTCTCTGAGTTTCCCACACTCTCTCTCTCAGTCACTGTGCGAACACAAGCCATCCAAGGACGGATCACATATGTTTTGTCAACAACGACAAAAGCTAAACTTTACATTTACGCACCGCTGACGTTTACACTCTCGTCGTTCGTCGTGCACAACGTGTGACAGGTAAATTGCCTCTTAAATTAAAAACAACGGCGGCGACGAAAACAGCGACATTGTCGTCAACGTAACGCCTGATAAAATGGTAAACAGCAGGCAAATCAAAACTTATCATCCAAGTTTGTGCGGACAAACAAGGACGGACGGACAGGCGGACTGACGTTTTGCTTCGTTTCGTATCTTGTCGTTAAGCCAGAAAAAAATAAACCGCACACAGTTTCGTTAATTTAAGAACGTCTACGTTTTCGTTGTCGTCGTCTGCTTCTTCTTAAGGCTTTTTTCCTCCGTCGATCTGTTCTATAGAAATATAGCTACCTGCGACTAAACGACTCCAGCTCCACTGAAATAATGAACGTTAATGTCTACCCCCCAAATGGCCACAGCCGACGAATGAATATTTTAAGCAACAAATTCGGCTATAGTTGAATGTTTGACCGACCAGCCGCTCTCATACTACACACATGTTCAGGTGCATTGTGCTGCTGCGGCTGTGTAATATCAGGCAGCTTTTCTAGACATAGTAGTCTCAGAGATATATTGACCGGTGTGATCAACAACAACAACAAAGATTTCCAACAAGATTTCCGTGTAATTATGGATTGACGCAGCAGCCAGCCAGGCAGTCATCATGCCGCAACAACAAACAACAATATGTTTACATACATATGTAGAAAAAATAAAAATTAACTAAAAAACACACACAAACTGGATTTTCTGTTTTAATCGAAAACACAACACAAAAAAAACATGATCACCATTTAGAATTGTAAATACCGCCGCCGATCATAAATGATCGAACCTAACAACCCGGTCGATTGACTGTTCAATCGAATATCATCGACAACCGAGAGTACAATTTGCGCTTCTCCACATGAAATGTAAATTGTTTTTTTTTTTTTTGTATCACTGCCACGGGGGCTTAAAGGGGATTCCCTTTTCCGTTATTTACGGAAATTATTAAAACAACAACAATAAAAAAAAGAACATCTCTGACACAGAACATTCTTCAAGTGCAACAATGTTGCAACCTGTTTTTTCTTAAATTGGATATTGAGTCAAAAAACAAACAATTCGTAAAGTTCTAAGACAATTGATGGATAGTGTATTAAAATCGTCGTCATTCAGTCTCCAGCACCTCGAAATAATTGGCGGAGGTCCCACAAAGTTTATATTTGATCAGAATAAAATGCTCTGTTGGTCCAAAGGGGTCAGATAAGGATGGGTTTTTGGTAATTCGTACTAGAACGGCACGAAAAGTACCAAAAATACTAAATGGGGTACCATTTGTATTTGGCGAACCCGTGCAACTAGAACTCTGAAATTTGAATTGAGGGTCATTGATAGAGTGTAGAATAGATGTAGCAAAAGGTTTTTTGGACATTGGAACTATAAGAAAAGTACTAAAATGTACTAATTTGTGTTCGTGGCATGTGAATGAATCGAGCTAAAACTTGAAATTTGGAATGTGAATTAATGTTGAGAATTAAAGTCGATATAATGAGGTGGTTTTGAAATCATGTGTACATAAAGTACTATATGGTACTATATTTGGTACAATTTTTAATTAGAGTTTCAAATGCAGCTGCAATCCTGAAATTTCAAATCAATATTATCGCCGGAGTGTATGATCGGAATATTTACGTAGTTTTGGAAAATTGGTACTTAGGTGTACCACAAGTACTAAATCGTACTATATTATTGTTGGGGTGTAGAATTGGGGGTGTAGGACTGGGATATGTAGACAATTTTGGAAATTTGTACTAATGTGTACAAAATGGGAACTCGGTTGAACCGATAGGAAGTTTGGGAAATGTCACCAAATTTGTACTAAATTTGGATTAATAGTGAACCAATAGAGCTAGAATTAAATATTAGTCGAAAGGAATGTCCGAATTAAACGTTGCACATATTATATTCCTAAGTCCAAAAATCAAGTCCGAAAATGGGACCCATTGGTCACCTACCTCTGGTACCTTACCACAAAGGGCAAACATTTCAATATTTTTAATTCCACGTCATCTGAATTTTTTGTTTTCAAATTATTGGCATATAAGATAAAAACGGTAAATCGGTTTTTATTATCTGAAAATTTGGCTCAAAAATTTAGGTATGAAAAATATCCTGCAATTGCCGCAACTAATAATATAAAGCAAAAAATTTCACCTATGGCAAATTTGTCCTTCTGGGTAAGAACATTCATCCCCATATGTAATTTACTTACCCCCAAACCATGAGCTCCATTTTGTTTCATAGTATAATTGAATATTGTGAGACATTTCAAACGAAACAGAGAACCCATATACCCTACCTTCAATGAGGGAGGGTGTTATCTAACTAATATACGCAAATCAGTTTTGTAGCAATTAAAATAAAAATAAAAAACAAAAACTTGCAACAACATTAAAGTCGAGCCTCCCGCTATTATTTAGCCCACACATAAAACAAATATTTCTATATATTTTTGTAGATGTATATGTATGTATCCCACTATTTTTGGGTGCCGACTCAAGCTATAATTACCGCCTGCCTCTGCGGAACATGTGCTCTAGAATTGTGACCACAAATCACTAATTTTGAATCATTTCCAGCTACCGACCGCATAATAAAATAACGACAACAACAAAAAAGGTGTACGCCACAGCTTCCATACAGTCGCATCATACCTCAACACCCGCTTTGCCACAAACACAAAATTCATTTGGGTATTTTTAATCAAACAGCAACAACAACAGCAGCAGCGGCAACAATTGTAACAAAGATTTCATTTATGATTGTGCATATAAAAAAATGCCGGATTGTGCCAGACGACAGTTTGTCGTTTGTAGATTTAAGAAAACGCGATTGAGCTGAGAGAATTAAATACTATATGCGGATTTTTTGTATTCAAAGGCATCAGCCACAAATCAACTTATTTATTAAGATTTAGATGTGGAAATAACAAAAAATATAGCGGGAAAAATTCCATGGCGATACACCTATACAGAAAATGGTTGGGTAGTGGTTGTAATCGATTTTTAATTATATGAGATTTTTGACAAGAGTTTTTAAAGTTTTTTATTTGAAAATTGAATGGATATGATATGAAAAAGTTAAAATAAAATGGTAAAGAAAGGAATTATTTCAAAAGGAGCAAAATCCACACTCATCATCAAATTGGGTATCATTCATCTTAATCTTCATTCAATTGCTCATATATATATATATATATATTACTACACACAAAAATTCCAAGTGTCTGCTATGCACTTGGATTTTTTATCGTTCAAATCGTTCATTAAAAATTGTTTGAAAAGGTTTGCAAATATCTTCCCTGCCGATTATCTATATAAATATATTTTGATACTTAAATGATACTGGCAATTTTTTTTTTTTTATTTGCAACATAATTTTTTGTTTTAAATGGATAACCCCCCTTTATGTTGTGTAGTCATAATTAATGTGTATGTATATTAAAAAATAAAAGTGTACTCTGCAAAAAAAATAACACACACACAAAAGTGTGCGCTTTTTTAATTAGCCATTATTGTCTAAGGTTATGGTCAATGAAAACAATTTAACAATGGTGTTTCTCGTAGGTTCCAGGTGACGTATAAATAATGACGTTACTTATGTTTGAACGCATAATAATGTACTAAAACCAGATATAGTTAAATTATAAAAAAATATCCGTCTCATTAAAAAAAATAAATTGTCTATGAAGAACTACCCATAATACATTTGTCATATTGTAACTAGAGCAAAAAAATAGTTAAAAAGGACTATTTCGGCCTCCATACAAATTTAACCATATCTTAACGAATTTATACTATAAAATAAATCGACTCGAAGATATACTTCTTATGTTTTTTTTATAAAAAGTTATCGATGAAATTGTAATTCAAAATTCTTCAAATTAGAATTTTCGTTTTCCATAAAAAAACAACATCCTGCTAGAAAAGGTCATATAAAATATAAAGGAGAACAGAATTGACACACTGTACACCAAACAGCACATGTTACTTGCTTACGCCGATGACATCGACATAATTAGTCGAACATTGCGATCGGTAAAAGCCAACTTTGAATGAATCGAAAAGTAGTCTACCAAAGTGGGACCGACAGTAAATGGCGAGAAGACCAAGCTGATGGTATTAATATGCAATACGTCCAGTAGACTCGGACCAAGTATGGAACTTGAAAACTACAGCTTTGAGACTGTCAACGATTTTATATAAATGTAAAATATTATATAAATAAGACTATGACATCAGTTTTGAAATCCCGAGAAGAAATGTGTTAGCCAACAGAGTCTTCTATGGTCTGAGTATGAAATTTAAGAACAAGACCACATCTTGTCAGGCCAATCTCACACTCTACAAGACGCGGATATTACCCTTTCTGATGTATGAATCGGAAGCATAGGTACTTGCACAGGCAGATAAGACAGTTTTTGGAGTGTTTGAGAGAAAAATCATCCGAAAAATCTACGGACAGATCTGTGTGAGTCATGAGTTGTACCACCTATTCTCGGAAATCGACATAGTCAGACATATTGGTTGCAGCGACTACGGTGGTCATGTTGTGATAATGGTTGAGGATGCTCCAGCTTAAAAAATGGAAGAACCCGAACGTCTTCTTCTCCAATGAACTTCCAGAAGGCGTTCTTCACAGCAGATCCAGACGGTCTTCTCCTCTAAGGAAGAGCCAGAAGTTTTCTTTATTATAAAAAAGCCAAATAGCAAATATCCATAGAGTATATTAAGGTATTTTTCTCCATAAAAGAGATTAAGGTCTTCTCCTTAAGAAGAAATGGAGGTCTTCTTCTCAATGGAAGAGATCAATGTGTTTTTCTCAATAGAAAAAATAAATGTCTTCTTCAAAGAAGAGGATGTGCTGAAAATCTTCTTAACAGAAGACTCGCAGATCTTTTGCTCTTTAGAATTGTTTTTCTATTAAAAGAGCAGCAGATCCTATTTTATTCCTAGAAAATCTTATGATTTTCTTCTTTACAGGGTAGCTAAAAGTCTTATTCACAGAACAACTGAAGGACTTTTTTTTAATATAAGTTCTTCTCCATAAATGATTTGAATGACATCTTCTTACCACACAAGATCTGAAAGTCTCTTCCCATAGATCATCTGAAGATCCGATAAAGGTGCTGTATATTTGAATGAGTGTTTTTCATATTCGGATATGGGCTGTATCGCTCCATGCTTATATTGCTAACATCCGAATGAACATGAATTGAAATAAACAATACTAAAACCATATTTTAAGGGTTTTTAGACTATTTTTCAACCGAATTGTCAGTAATTTTATATTTCGGGTTCTAATTTAATAGAAAGTCTCCCTTTCAAAAATAACCATTATCGACCCACTTTTACGCATAGTCCGCAATTTTTTGTAACTTGAGGATTTTGGGTATTTAAAAAAAATAAAAATTTTGGGTTTTCATTAAGTAGTAAATTTTCCTACTAAAAATTATCAATATTGTTCACATTAAGGTTTAGCATTTTTTTTTAGAATTTTTAGATTTTCGGAAACTATTCCATCACCCACAAATATCAATGTGGGAATACCAAAAGTAAATAATTATTGGGTAGTATTTAAGTAGCACATAGTTTACTTTATTACATCTGCACCCGAAATATAAAAAGGAAACCTTTCTATCGCAAAAATCAATAAATATGCAACTACGTGCAAATTATGCGCGACCTACATATCACGAACACCGTTAGATTTAAGTACACCTTTTAATAACCAATGTAATAAAATTACACCCGAAAATCACTTATTGACAACAAATTATAATACCAAGCTTATAGCAAGCATCCACCTTTTACAGAAATCGTTAATTCCGAAATAGTAAACCGGATAATCTTACCAAACACCAACCATCAGCATCAACAGCAACATGACACAGAGCCACAATTTGACACAGATATTGTGTGCATGTATCGTATTTATATGTATGTTGTTGGTGGTGATGGAGCTGCTATGTGCTATCCAAAATGCATGGGTATTTAAAACAACAACACTCATAGTATTGGGTAACAATCAGGTTGTGTTAGAAGGAGTCAAATGTCTGTTGATTCAATGCACACACAGCATCACACAACAAACATTCACGCAAACACGAATCACTGTTTGCTGTCGTCGTATTTTGAAGAGCTCAACACAAATCCAAATTCCTGAGCAAACATATCCTGTGACATTGTTTTTGCAAATTGCAATGCAGCTTTGGTTTTACTCCCCCCAGAATAAAAGAGCTTAAGAGCGTAAATATTCCCCCAAATAAGGGGTAACGGAAATCAATGAGATTCTTCCTTCTACTCATTGAGAAAATAAACATTGAGCAAAACAATTCTCTGAAGTTTTATTTGTTTGAGAGTTATATTCGCAAAAGAGAGTAAAATGTACACTCATGCCAAATGCGCGCGCTTTCTTCAAATAAACCGGGTACTCACAGCTTTGTCTTTGATGTCTTTTAATTTGCTGAAGACAAAAAACAGAATTACAAAGAAATTACGTTTTGTTTTTTCTTCTTTTCTACTTACTCGTGTTGTTGATAATATCCTTTTAAACTGATCCGGTGATGTCCACAGCAATAATTAAAACACACTTAATTCGGAGTTTTTTTCAAACTTTATTTTACAGAACACTTTAGACTTTTTACAACACTTTTATAGGCACTCGTTACTTTTGCAAACTTACGACACTTTAACAGCAGAGCTTTTACTTCACAACTGAGACGATGAGCTATGGTTGCAACTTCTTTTATTTACTCGCTATTTGTTTCTAGATCATTCTATTCTAGATAATTCTTATTCTAGTTTGTTCTTATGATTACTTATGTCAATATACATCACTATTCATAGTAACGATTATTTACATCTACATCTTATTGTAAATGATCAATCTAGGGATCACTAAATAAGATGAAATATATGTGTTGCCAATTTACATAATTCACAATATTTGACATCCCTCCTCAACACATATATTTCAATATTACCTATTTACATACATTTGTATATTACATTTCATATATTGACTTACATTACCTCTATACATAGACACACTATTTACATTAGTCCAATTTCTTTACTCAATTTTACATGAGACACCTTTGATAAATTCTTAGTTAATATATCAGCTAAATTATTTGAGCTTGAACAATAACATAAATCTATATGACCCTCCATATATACATTTCTTATGTGATGATATTTTATATCAATATGTTTTGTTCTATTGTGATACACAGGATTTTTAACCAAATGCAATGCCCCTACATTATCTCCATTTATCAATATTTTATCTGGACAATGAATTGAAATTCCTGTCAATAATTTTCTTAAATACACCGCTTCTTTTGCTGCTGATGAGAGAGCCATATATTCAGCTTCTGTGCTACTTAACGCTACTGTGTTCTGTTTCTTTGATTCCCATGAAAAAGCACTTCCAGCGAGCAAAAATACATAGCCAGTATAAGATTTTCTTGTCTCAATGTCACCACCCCAGTCAGCGTCAACATATGCTGTAACTTGTTCTCCTGTCTTCTGGTAATGTATTTTATAATCTAACGTTTTATTTAAATACTTCAAAATACGTTTCGCTGCTGTCATATGTTCAATGTGCGGGTCTGTATTCTTCTGTGATAGCTTACTAACTGAATGCAATATATCTGGTCGCGTACATATCGCTAAGTACATAAGAGATCCTATCAATGATTGATATTCTGTTGACTCAACTCGCTT